AGACAGAACCTCAATTAAGGAAATGTGGCCACCAAACCGGCCTGTGGGAAAGCCTGTGGTATTTTCTTGATCAGTGTGGGGATGGCTTAACTCACTGTGAGTGGTGTCCCACCTGCCAAGTAAAAGCAAGACCAAGCAAGCCATGAGGAGTAAGCCAGTAGTCAGCATTCCACTATGACCTCCGCTTGAGTTCCTGCCTCCAGGTTCCTGCCCTAACTTCCTTCAATGATGGACTGTGGAAGTATAGGCTGAAATACACCCTTTCCTCCCCAAGTTGCTTTTGGTCATGGTGTTTCATCACAGCAATAAAAATCCTAAGACACTCGTCTGCACTGGAGCTTAGGTGAGCTGTCTCGGATGGTATACTGGCATCAAACCAGAAACTGCTACACTGTGCCAAGAGAGTACTTCAACCTGAGCTCCCAAGGAAGGGGTATGGATGCTTGGGTTTGGGTCATCCTAGACTGCCCTGCATCTTTCCCTTCCGCTGGTTCTAGCCTGTATCTTTACGCCACCTTCAAGTACAGCATGTCCCTGAGTTCCAGGTGTCACTCTAGCCAACTGCTCATCCTGAATGGCTAGTGAGCACCTCAGAAGTTATAGCCAACTGCTTAGAGGTGAGAGTCAACTGGGGATCCCTCAACTTGAGACCGGAATTTGGCTTTTTGAAAGTGGGTCTCACTATGTTATCCTGGCTAGTATGGACCTGTGTAGACCAGGCTGGCCTCGAACTCAAGAGAACCACCTGCCTCTGCCTCCTCCTAAGTGCTGGCATTAAGGGTGTGCACAACCACGCCCAGCAACAACCAGTCTGCAGCCAGGGCAGTTTTGCCGAGGGCTAGTTCTGGGAAGTTTGGCATACCTGGTAGTAGCTGCAGAGAAGTCACTGTGCCCCAGAGAACTGCATCTGGCAGTCTGCATATGTTACTGGGAATGGCAAATGCGGCCAACCAGCCACCAAGCTGCTCATAGAAGACCGCAGTTACTATCTTTCTGCCCTGTCAATCACCTTCCCTAAAAAACAGCAAAATGTCCTTCCAAACCAGCTTCCTAGAAACCTCTGACTCCATCCTCCCTCTTCTTCTCCATTTCCTCCCAGCCTCTGAACCCTACACAATGGGAACGCAAACGCAAGTTCTCCAAAGAAGGCACATCCGAGTGGAAGGCCCTGTAGATCGAGGAACTGACTAGAAGCTCCATGCCTGTGGAGATGGACGGCTGCAGACCCAGAGCCAAATCATCTCCTGCTGTCTTTAGTCTCAGCAGCCATCTAACCCCAACCTCGTTCCCTGACTAGGATGTCTGTCTAGCAGGTGAAACTTCTGGCATCCACTCACTTAGCCAACCACCAGCTTCTCCCAGACTCAAGACTACAAATGTCCTAAGACAGCATCTGGAACCCACAGTAGAGATTTCCCCACCTTGCTGTAACCCATGTCTTAGTCAGGTTTCTATTGCTGTGATAAAACACCACAACCAAAACCAACTTGGGGAGGAAAGGGTTTGCCTTACACATCCAGTTCCTCATGAAGGGAAGTCAGGGCAGAAACTCAAGGAAGGAATTAAAGCTGAGGCTATGGAGGGGTGCTGCTTAATGGCTTGCTCAGCCTGCTTTCTTATACAACCTGGGACCACCTGCCTAGAGATGGCCCTGCCCCCAGTGGGCTGAACACTCCCACATCAATCATTAATCAAGAAAATGCCCCAGAGACTTCCTTCCAGGCCAGTCTGTTGGAGGCATCTTCTCAAGTGAGGTTTTCTCTTCCTGGATGACTTGAGCTTGTGTCAAGCTGGCAAAAAAAAACCAAAAATCAAAAACAAAAAAACCAACAAAAAACCCAGCATACCCACATTCTTGGTGTCCCCACCAAAGTATCTGGGTAATGCACTGATTCATGATCCCTCTGATCTGTGACCAAAGGAGTTCCTGTGACCTTTTCCACAGCAGCATGTGTCACTCAGAGCAACAGGAATCTGTATCCAGGCCATGCTCACTCATATTTGGCTCAAAATAAACTCTCTCATTCCCTCCTGAGCCAAAGCTGCGCTGTGTAGACAGGGTCTTACTTTCCTTCCTTCCTATGCTCACAGAATTCTGGCCCACGGGCCTCCTCCCTGATTCTGGACTGGCCAACCTCTCTCCCACTTTGCAGCCACTACCCTGTGGTGCATTTCTTCCTTCTTACCACGTCTCACCCTTGAGAGCTCAGCTTTATCCTGACTCTAAGGAGGCCCCTAGTCACTCATCTGCTTTGATTTTTCTCTCTGATTTTGTTCCCCTCATCAAAATTAAGTCTCCGTCCATGCCGGATTCCCAGGCCTCGAGGAGTGCCTGGCTCACAGAAGATAATCGCTTATTGGATATCCTAATTGGATATTCAGGTCTCATGGAATCCACTGAACAGGATTAACTCAGCGGTGGGCTCTAGCTTTCTTCTGCCCTCCTCAATCCATTCTCCACACCACAGCCCGAGACATCTCTCTAGTGAAGCGCTGCAGCCTACTGAGATGCAGGGCTCAGCACACGCTCAAAGGCCGTTCCCTCTGACAGGAGCTCAGGCCCTTCACCATCAGCTGTTGCCACACTCAGTCACCCTTTGCCCATCTGTCCTCCAGCAAGGCTGTGCTGCGGTTGGCACATGCCAAGTCTCCCTTGCTCCCTGGCCTTAAGCACATGTTCCTCCTCTGTGGTGTTCATTTTCCCTCCCTGGGTCTCTTCCTTTACTCATCCTTCAGGATTCCTTAACCAGTACATGTAGAAACCTTCCCTGCCCCTCCTGTGGGCCTCGTCAGAACTCTACCCAGGTCAGAGCATGGATTCAGGATGTGTACCACTGTCTGAAGCCTTGCCTGTACTATTCTCAAGAGCATCACCCACATGGAGGAAGGGTCTCATCTTATTTGTTTGTACCGCTACAGTTAGGCACAGTGCATGCTTAATACTGCAGATGTCTACTACATATTTACTAGACAAGCTGAGGCCTTTGTTAGTTCCTCCATGTTCTTCACAGCATTTAGTTTGGTGTTACCCACAAGACATGGGCTCAATCCTATTGAAAAAGTAGCACAGTGGCTACTCTGACCCAGGGTACCCAAGCATCTTGATGATCGAGTATGGTTCTTTAAGGATGTGAGCAAGGCCACTCATAAACTTTAAAGAGCTCGACTAATAGTTCTTCCAACGTGTCTTCCTGCCACACTGCTATCAGCATTTAACTTTGGCCATAGAGTCCCAGAGAGGCATTTTAGGCTTTATTTAAATAAAGATATTAATGTTCATAAAGAAGCATTACCTGGGGCTGGAGAGATGCCTTAGCAATTATGTGCACTTGCTGCTCTTCCAAAGGACCAGGGTTCAGTTCCCAGCTCACAACCACCTGGAACTCCAGCTCCAGGGGATCCGATGCCCTTTTCTAGTCTCTCCCAGGCATTTGCACCCACAGGCAGGTGCACCCACAGGCAGGTGTACACACAGGCAGGTGCACCCACAGGCAGGTGCACCCACAGGCAGGTGTACACACAGGCAGGTGCACCCACAGGCAGGTGTACACACAGGCAGGTAGGTGTACACACAGGCAGGTGCACCCACAGGCAGGTGCACCCACAGGCAGGTGCACCCACAGGCAGGTGTACACACAGGCAGGTGCACCCACAGGCAGGTGTACCCACAGGCAGGTGTACACACAGGCAGGTGCACCCACAGGCAAGTGCACCCACAGGCAGGTGTACACACAGGGAGGTGCACATACAGGTAGGTGCACACACATGTATGCACACTATACCTAAATAATAAAGTAAATCATAAGGAAAAAAAAGCAAGGCATGTTTGGATCAAAACTTCCTTCTACGGAGTCAACAGACATGCCCTGAAACGATACCGGCAGGCTCTAGATATTCTAAGACAGAAAGAAAACAAAATGATATTTAGAGAGTCAACCCCCCACTCTAAGAAAATGATGCTTTTCCATCAAACCCATTGCACACACAATACTAGAAAGGTCTGAAGCTCCTGATGGAGATTAGGGCTCCATTTGAGTTTCTTCCTTTGTTTTTGCCTATTGCAGCCAACAGACAGAAAAAATTAAAAAGTTAAAAAATAAGTTTTCCACCATGACCCAGCTCACACACAATCAAAACTAAACGTAACAAACAATCCGCAATCCCACTCTACACTCTTCCACTGGATCTCATCGAAAAGCATGACTCGCAGTCTACTATGCCAGTCTCACAACCCACATTTTGACAAATACTATGGTTTAAAACAACTACAGTAAAACTAGATTGATTAAAACTAACAAAATTCAATTTTCTTTCTCTCTCTCTTCTTTCTGCATGTGTATAGGGTATGGGGATACACAGGCACATGTATTTGTATGTGCACATGAATGGTGGCCAGAAGTCAACCTTGAGTGGCATTCCTCAGAAGTCGTCTGTCTCCCTGGAATCTGGGATTGTAGAGTGTACTACTCTACCTGGCTTTTTACATGAGTGCTGAAGATCTGAACTCAAGTCCTCAGCACGCACTTTACCAACGTGCTCATCTCCATAGTGCTTTTTCCTTTATTTTTCAGATAGGGGCTTACTATGTAGCCCAGGCTAGCCTCAACTCTCAACCCCTCTGCCCCTGCCTCCCTAGTGATGGTACAGTTTGGGTACCACCATACTGAGTAAGAAACTCATCTGATTATACAAATTTTGATGCCATTTTTGAATGATGGCACGTAAGTCTTTTTGCCCTAAGTCAAACCCTTTCAAGATCCAGGATTCTTTTCTTTTTTGGGAGGATAAGGGCTCATGTAACCCAGGCTAGCCTTTGAATGCCTGATCTTCCTTTTTCTACCTGAATATTGGGATTACAGACATGCACTACCATGCCAGGATAAGAAAGTGGGATGGATTCTCATGATAAAACTGTGTGGTCTTGGTCATTCATCTACATGGCTAGCTACTGGGAAAATGAATTAGTAGATCATACAATAACGGTCCAAAGTAGCCCATACCTTAATATTGGAAAACCACAAATCATTCTCATGCAGGGTGGCCAGGTAGACAGATGTAAGAAGTCCAATGCAAAGGGCCACGATTCCACCAACCACAGACGACAGGATCTTCCAGAACCTTCCCGAGGCACAACCTTTTCGGAAAGTGAAACACATCAAACAAGAATATAGAACCTGGGGCAGGTGAGACAGTGCCACTGTTAAGACCACTTGCTACTCTTGCAGAAGGCCTGAGTTTGGTTTCTAGCCCTCAGATCAGGCAGCTCACAACTGCCTGGAACTCCAGCTGTAAGGGATCTGATGCCTGCCTTTGGCCCATGCTCATGGGTACAACCTACACACAGACACACGTGAAAAATCAAAATAAATTTCACAGAAACAATACAGCACTGACCAAAGGACACACAAACTAGGAAAAATGCAAATATAGGAGATTTAAGGATAATAAGAAACAATGAACATCCTAGTAGGGAACAGACTAAGGACAGGAACAGGCAATGAACAAAAGGGAAGAAACAGGCAATAAATGTAACAGACAGAAGAAAACATGTTAAAATTCATTCAGATTCTCTAGCATTGACAAAAGAATGAGAGGTACTTAAAAACATTTTTGGTGACTATGGAATTTAAAATTTCTAATATATGAGCTGGGGGTGTGGCTCAGTGGCAGAGCCCCTGCACGGCCTGACCAACACTGCAGGAGGGATAAATGGTAATGGAGTTGAAAACTGCTTTGGGAATGGGCTAGCTAGTTTTCACATCAACTTGACTTTGACACAGTTAGACTCAGCTGCAGGAGAAAACTTCACTTGAGGAATTGCCTCCATAAGACCGGCTGTGGGCCAGTCTGCAGTGGATTCTAATTAGAGACTGACATGGGCAGGCCCAGTTACTGTGAGCTGTGCAACGGCTGGGTCCTGGCTGCTATAAGAAAGCCGGTTGAGCAAGCCATGGGCAGCAAGCCAGTAAGCAGCACCCCTCCATGGCCTCTGAATCAGCTCCTGCCTCCAGGTTCCTGCCCTGCTTGAGTCCCTGCCCTGACTTCCTTCGGTGATGAACACTGATATGGAGTGTAAGCAAAACAGGCCTTTTCCTCCCCAAGCTGTTTTTGTTCATGGTATTTCATCACAGCAATAGAAACCTTTAACTAATACAGAAGTGGATTTAAATAAACAAACATCTTGGGTGCTGGAGACTTGTTGCTCTTACAAAGGACTCAGGTTCCATTTCCAGCTCTCACATGGTGGCTTAAAATGTCTGTCACTCCAGTTCCAGGGAACCCGATGCCCTCTTCTGACCTCCGTGGGCACCAGGCACATGCACATGCACGTGGTGTATTTATGAAAAGGTTCAGGACATGGTAACGGAAGAGCTGCTACTTCCCCAACAGCACATGGATCTTGCTCGGTTTTGTAACGCTACATATGACTGCTTGAGGGCAATCATGTGGAGACAGCTACATTCAGACAGCGAGATAAACACTGTCATCTGTGCTACTCTCAGGAAGAGGAAGTTGGGAGTAGTTTTTCCTTCTCTTTAAAATTTGTCTTTAGCTGGGCGGTGGTGGCGCACGCCTTTAATCCCAGCACTCGGGAGGCAGAGCCAGGCAGATCTCTGTGAGTTCGTGGCCAGCCTGGGCTACCAAGTGTGAGTCCCAGGAAAGACGCAAAGCTACACAGAGAAACCCTGTCTCGAAAAACCAAAAAAAAAAAAAAAAAAAAATTTGTCTTTAATTTTCAGGGTTGCTTTTTTTTCTGACATGATTTCATAAAATGGACAATCTTCAAAGTTTTTTTTTTAATTAAAAACATAATAAAACAAACCAAAATGGGGCTGGAACAATGGCTCAGCAGTTAAAGAGCACTTACTGCTCTTGCAGAGGACCCAGGTTCAGTTCCTATCACCCACATGTCGGCTCACAACCGTCTGTAACTCCAGTTCCAGGGAACCCGGTACCCAAGTCTGACCTCTGAGGACATCAGGCACACCAGCAGTGCGTATACACATATGCGGGCCAAACACCCATACACATGAAAATAGATAGATCTTTAAAAACAAACAAGAAACAAGCTAAGGCCGGTGAGGCAGCCCAGGGAGAAAGGGCATTGCTGCCAGGCCTGAGGACATGAGTCTGATTTCTGCAATACATAAAGTGGAAGGAGGGAGATTCCTGCTGGGTGTTCTTGGACCTTCACATGCATACACTGTTGAGCCACCACACATACACGGTAACTAAATAAATGCAATTAAAAAAAAGAAAGGCACAATCTAACATAAATTTTAACTGGGTAACATCATCAGAAACTACTCCAAATTACCTAACAGGCATTGGCTCCCATCAATTTAGCTGAGCGGCCTGGCTCTCCAACATAGACATCTTTTATCTTATTAAACAGCTTTTTCTGCTACCTATTAGCTCTGGCTGCTAAGAATTCATCTGGCTACAAAGGATTAATTATGTCCGATATCGAAAATGGCTGACAGGTGTGGAGCTTTTCAAGCTTACTTTAAAAATTTTCACCACATTTAATTACAAAATGTGACCAGGGGCCACTTAGCAACTGTTCAATGTTATATAAAGGTTTCACCAAGTTCTCATTTTTGTCTCTTCCCCCTCCATTCCTACCCACCCAAAATAAAGCAAAAGAGATAACTTCAGGAATTTGGCTGAATATAAAATGTTAAATTTCTTTCTCAAAGACTATAGTGAAATGAGACTGAGCCAAGATAAGGTGCCTGGGTGGTACAGCACACACAAATCAGACCGGATACTAGAGAAAGAGATGGTGTCGGAGGGCAGGCAAAGCATCAGAGAACCTGACGACGTTGCTGCCCGTAAGCTAACCAACAGACAACTTTTACAAAGCTCTTTTACAGATGACAGCTGAAAAGCCAATATAATCAAAGTATAATCAGAATATCTGCTGCTGAAATAAGTGTCCTTCCTAAGTCTCACTAATTTTTTTTTTACCCTTTTAGATTGTGACATATGCTAATACGCAGAAGGAAAAGTAATCCAAAGTGCTACTTTAGCTCAAATCACCTACCAGATGGCAATTTCTTTTCCAACTTCACATTTTCTTTTGGTGATAGAAAATCCTCAGAAACTTCTATGGTTTTTGTCTCTTTTCTTTGCCGGATGTACATCATGATGTCAAAGATTCATGTGCATTGTTCTTCCAACAACTCCTACAAACAACACCCAGATAAATGCCCCACGGATATGTCAGCACCCTCTTCACCCCAATACACTCTTATGCTCTTATGTACTTAAATGGCTTGACTGTCAGCAGACCCTCCCATATAATTCTTAAGCAGCCTTTAAAGACACAACACAAATATTTAACTCAACCATATTTATGCGGCACCTGTTTTGCAGCAGGCACTTCCAGGAGTCAGGGATGCAGGTGAGCCACATGAAGAAGCCCAGCCCTTCTTCCAGGAAGCCATCTTGGATGCTCAAAGTCTTGGGATATTTTCCTTCCCTGAATCCGCAACACTATGCGATTGTTGCGTGACACAGTTTTACACTATTTTCTACAGTTCCTACAGAAAGTAATGGGTCTGATGCTCCCACAGAACTGACCACGTGGGAGGGATTCCTAGTAAACTTGTGACAGCCAGATTTTGAAGAAGTGAAACATTGTTCTTTGATACCTGAATTTTAGCACCTATGTTCTTTGAAACACTCAGGGCTAAGCTACACGCCTCAGTGTCAAAGGCAGAGGGGCTATGCCAATCAGGGTGGCTGCTCTCCCTGGGGAGCAACAGTGGGTGTAGCTGCGGGAGCAGTTACCTAGTTTGGAAGCTGTGAGGGGGAGGCGGGGGTGTGGTGGCGGTGAGTAAGCTGGCTCCAGTCCCCCGAGAACATCTTGCCTCGTTCCTCTGAATAATGAATAGCGTTTTACTAATTATCTATTAAAGATAAGGAGTAGCGAGACGCGACTGTTTCAGCAGCTAATCCAACCTGCACTCGAGGTACCAATGTTTACCTAACGGTAAGCCACTTGCTCAATACAACAGAGGAAGCCAACAACACACAACGCTTTTGTTAAGATTTGTTCATTCAAAAATAATGAGAAGGAACACAGACTTAAATGCTGTGCCTGAAGGCCCAAGAAACGAAGAAAGTGAGGGAGGAAAAAAAAAGTGTGTGGGGGGGATCTTTTCAAAGTCTTGCAGCCACAGCTGGGATCCTGTCCCCTCTTGGGGAGTCATGCCCGTCCTAGCCCTAGGCGGAGCAGGGGATATAGAGGGCCCATCTGCATCCACCCTCAGCCTGTTGAGACAGAAAGTTAACAAACACTCCAGGTGCTAATTACGATACGCGACGTTGCGATATGATGGCAACAACCCCAGGAACTAGGAAACAAAAAGTTACTCTAGCCAGCGGGACGCAAAGCCCCGGCCAGACTTTAGCTAAGGGACCAGCAGGCAACACCAGGACTGCCGATCTGGATGCGCGCCGCCACCGTGCACCTGGAGCCACTCCCCTGCGCACCTGGCGAGCCCACGAGGGGGCCAGGTGCCGGCCAACCCCCGGAACGTCGAGGCACTCGCTCCGGCTCTGACATGCTCCCTCCCACGCCCCGCCCACGTGTCCCATAGACACGGCTCGTCCAGTTGCCTCGCGGCCCGACCCGCAGCTACAGACCTGCGGCCTCAGCAGTCCTCGCGGGCGGCTTGGGATTGGCAAAGAAGCACGCCGGACACCCAGGCCTTGGGGACGCGCCCACACCACGGTCTAGAGCAAGGTGGAGACCGGGAGAACCCTGCGGCGGATGGCTCTGTGAGGCGCGATTCAAGGCTGGGCCTGGGGGGCGTCTACAGCCCCTGGAAGGGGCGCGCCGGGGAGGCCGGGCCGCTGCCGCTGCATTCATTGGTTCAGGGAGCTGTTCGTCCACGCAAGGCTCCGCCCCCGCCTCCCGCGCTGCCCCGCCCCGTCTCGTGCGGCGCAGACCGGAAGGAAGAGGCGCACTTCCGCTCGGAGCCTGGCTAGCCATGCTCCTTTCGCTGGCAGTTCTTAAGTTTGGTCAATTTCTGTCCTCGGAGGCCCTGCTGCCGGGAGAGATGGTCACCTAGTCTCGGGGGCCTTCCCAGCTCTACTTCCTGTCCCCAGTGCCCACCTATCTGTGCTTTGGACGTTTAGCGACAGAACCTGCAGCTACGTTTGCGTCTCGAAAGACACGCCCTCCCACCCTCACCCATCCCCATCCCCGGTTGTTTGTGCTCTGGGCTTTACTATTCTTTTCCTTAACACGCTGCTCTGGTGTTGAGTCCTGACGTTACTCTTATCTTTAAATTGCTTGTCAGCCTTTTTTTCTTTGAGACAGGGTCTCGCCATGTAGCTCAGGCTGGCCTGGATCTCTCTGCCTCTGCCTCTGCCTCCTGAGTGCTGAGATTAAAAGTGGGTTCTATTGTACCCAGATTGAGTTTTAGTAATGGATGGCCCTCTGGGATCAGTACCTATGAAAAGGTGCCCTGCCATCCAATTCCAACAAAAATTGCTTCATCCACCCTGCCTTTCTTAGTTACCAGTCTCAGCTAGATCGTTTTCTACTTTGGATATCAACTGTAAATACCAAAAACACACTGCTCAGAATGCTCTCTTATTAGATAGGGTATTTTTTTTTCCTTTCTCCCCTTAAAGTGACTTGGGGAAAATGTAAGTGTTGTGAGGTGTGTCCCTTAGGGGAACAGTATTCTGCTGCTGCCTGACTTACGAATGAAAAAAAGAAAAGGAGAGGAAAGACGACTGCTCCTAGGTTAGGTGGAGGGAAAGATTTATTGTAGGTATGTGGGAGAGTACAGCCAGAGGCAGGAACCTCTGGGAGAGTCCAGAGTGGACATGACCCTGAGTCATGTGGGGAGAGGGCGAGGGGAAGAAGGAAAGGAGAGAGGAGAACCAGGTGCAACAGCCAGGAGGCCCAAAAGTACAGAAAGAGCGGGTAACCAAAATGGTTGGATTACAGGGGGGAAAGCAGCCCAGCCCCTGGGCCTGGAGAGTTCAGGGTAGGGGGGCGGGTACTCCAGCCAGGAGGGCCCTGGAATAGGTAGGGACAGAGGGATGCAGGAAGAACCAGGCAGCCAGGTCTGCTTTGATGTGTTAAATAGGCACCTCCACCATTTGCCCCAGGTTTGAAACCCAACAATTTCTGTAACACGAGGCAATAACTGTCCTGAGAACATCAAGTTGTACCATTCTCGTAGGAAGTAGGCGCCTGCTGCTGAGAGTTGGAGTCTTAGGTCATGGAGTGTGCCTATAGTCCCACCACCCAGGAGGCTGCAGCAGGAGGATGGCAACTCCAACTCTTGCTTGGGCTGCATGCAGAGACATACAGTACTGATTGTCACAAAAATACAATAAGGCAATGAGTTGTAGTGAAGCAGAACAGAAAGATAGGGAAAATTATGGGGAAAGGAAAAGGAATGCCCCATCCCATCCCAGATCTAGATGAAGCCTCTCCCCAGCTGTAGACAGGAATTCCAGCACACACACAAAAAACACTTGCTATAAACTAAAGGCTGCCAACATAGAAATGATATTCCTCTCATGGATAGCTATCTAATGTTAAAATAGCAGTGACCCAGGCTGAAGACCTGAATGTATTTGACTTTTATTTGGGTCTCATTCATTTCCCCCAGATACCTGGGAATCTCAAGGAAGACACTTACCATTTGTTTACAGTAAAGATATCCTACCTTAGGGCTACAGAGATGGTTCAGCAGTAAAGAGCACTTGCTGCTCTTGCAGAGGACCCAGGTTTGGTTCCAGAACCCATGTGGTAGCTCACACCATCTGTGACTCCCGTACCAGGGGATCTAATGCCCTTTTCTGATCCCCCAGGGCATCAGGTATTCATGAGGTCCACATACTTGCAGGCAAAGCACTCATTAAAAAATATAAGTAAGGGGCTGGCTGTCAAGATGGCTAAGCAGTTAAGAGCACTGCCTGCCCCTCTGGAGGGCCAGGCTTAGATTCTCAGTACTCATATTCTGGTAACCCCTGTCTCAGGGGATCTGATGCCCTCTTCTGGCCTCAGCAGGCAATGCATGCACATGGTGCCCAGGCATATAGGCACGACACTCATATACATAAATCTTTTTAAAAATTTAATAAATAAATAAATAAAAACAAGTCTTTAAAAAAGTATTAACTTGGGTGATAGCCACAGAGGTAAAGAAAACTCAGCACAACCTGGGATATTTAGGTGCTCCATGCCGCTGGAGTCAGTGTGGGTGTCTGTACAGATTATGTAAGAGGGAGGAAGCGATGCCAGCGCCTAGGTTTCTGACTTCAGCAATCAGGCCAGTGGGACACACCAAAAGAAAAGCAGGCTTGGGGTGTGTAATAACCTGAAGGAGGGTTTTCTCATAGGCAGAGGTGGTTCTGCCCAGGATACTGCTGAGATCAGTCAAAGCTCACCTGGTGCTGTCTGCTCAGCCACTGTGTGGCTGATAAGGGGCTGCCTCAGAGGCCAGTTGCTGCTCACAGGGCTCTCTGCACAGGCTGCTGGAAGAGCCTCAAGACATAAGCACTGGGATCTGAGGCTTCTGAGGTGTCTGTAGTAGAGGGAGGGCAATGAAGGGAAGAGCCAGTGGCATGGTGACTAGGACGAGCAGAAGAGAAATGGCAGCAGAGGGTGGCTTTCTCCCTGGGCCTGGGGATGCAGCCATGCACATTCCAGGCAAGTCTTTCACACTCGGTCAATCCTTTCTCAGAGCTACACCCTGGGATGTGTTTTATCAACCCCCTCCATGCACTTCCTGCTTCCTTTCTTCCTGTCCAACTTGCAGTGAGCAGCTCTCTCCACATATCCTACTGCTGTGAGGATGCTCTGCCTCCAAGGACTGTAGACAGAACCCATGGAGCCGTGAGCTGAAACCAGTACTTTCCTCCCTTCAGGTGTCCTGTCAGGTCTGGTCACAGTGGTAAAAAGCTAACGCAATGTGCTTACGTCATTCTGTCTCCTGAGGCTACAGCACAGTGTCAGCCTTCTGTTGGATTGCTCGCTTGGGGGAGAATTTCAGTGGTTTACTGAGGCTACTCCAACAGCCTGTGGAGAGAGCCATGAGAGCAGCAACTGGCCTCCAGCCAGCCACCTGCCAGCCGTGGAGTGAGCTATTGTGTTAACACATCAGACAGCTTAGGTCAGCTTTGGCTGGTATCAGGATTGATTCTCGACAGAGTCACCTCCGCTTGTCACTCTCACACATTGGATCTCTCAGGACAGTGGATGCATGTTGTTGTTGGGAGGGTTAGGTTTGGGGGCGTATTATACGGTGATAGATACATCAATACAATACTAATCACCCATATGGATATGTCATGATGTATCTGCTCCCACTGAGCTGACATCTAGGTTGTTTCTGATATATTATGTGTATGAATGCTTTGCCTGCATGAATGTCTGCGCACTACAAGCATGCCTGACGCCCCAGGAGGCCAGAACAGGATATTGGATCCTCTGGAACTGGAGTTACAAATGGTTCTGAGCCACCATGTTGGTGCTGGGAATTAAACCCAGGACTCTGCAAGAGCAGCAAGGGCTCTGAACCACTGAGCCATCTCTCTAGGCCCTGTCTTTCTGTTGTTGTTTGTTTTTTGAGACAGGATCTCTGTAACTAAGGCTGGCTTGGAACTGTCTATGTAGACCAGGTTAGCCTCCAAGAGATCCACCTGTGTTTGCTTTTCCAGTGCTAAGATTAAAGACTTGTACCACCATACCCAGTCTGTTTCTGGTTTTATGCAATTTTAAGCAATGCTGTAAGAACATTCTTAGACATATACAATTCTTTAGGAAATGTTTCTAGAAATAGAATAGAAAAAATTCATGTTCTAATTTGTGATAAACGTTGGCAAACTACATCCCAAAAGGCTGAACACTTCCATTACTTTAATTTTTATTACCACTTTGTATTACAGCTAGTATTTCTCTGTACCTTTGCCAACAGTGGACATATTTAATCTTGGCCAGTGTTAAATGAAAACTCATATATCATTATCTTACGGGATTTTTAGGGTAGGGCATGGCCTGCTGGGGATAACACACAAGACTTTCCACATGCTGGGCAAATGCTCTACCATTTTTTGTAGCCTTACTCCTCACTCTTGCATTTTTGCAACATAACCTTGAGTCAGTTATATAGCCCAGGCTAGCCTTGAACTCATCATGTAGTCCAGGCTAGCTGTGAACTCAGGATCATTCTGCCTTATCCTTCCAAGCACTAGGATTATAGGTGTGTAACACCACACCCCATGTATATATTTATTAGGTAAAGATGATGATATCAGGGTTTCTAATTATTTATTTTTACTATGATCGATCTTTTTATATTTGTTGTCCTGCTCAGGTATTTAATTTCTTGTGAAATTATCATTTGTTCAGTGTGACTGTTTAATTACTGTTTGTCATAAACATCACAGATAGCGTCTCATTATTCTATTATCTATTGTATGTCTCTTGCTATGTAGAAAATTTCTAGGTTTATATGATTAAGTTATTTATTTATTTATATATGCATTGGTACTTTGACTACATTTTTGTCTGTGTGAGGGTAACAGGTTCCCAGGAGCTGGGGTTATAGACCGTTGTGAGCTGAAATGTAGGTGCTGGGAATTGAATTCAGGTCCTCTGGAAGAGTACCCAGTGCTCTTAACCCCTGAGCCAACCTGCCAGCCCCCATAAATATGTCATTCTTATAGCTCATAATGTTTACAAGTTCTCTCATTTCAAGATCAATTTTTCTTGAGTACTTTTTTCTAATATTTTAAATACAAAATATTTTTGCAGTGGTAGCTGTTCTAGCTATGATCTTGAATCACCACCCCTAGTGAGGTAACAGGTAACGGTTACACCTGCCTATGACCTTGAAGTCCACTAGGGAC